TATATAGCTAAAATTAATATTCAAAATTTTATTAAAAAATTTAAATATTAAAAAAATTAGTAAAAATCTTTGCAGGCAAATTTGCCTGTGTTACAATTTAAGGGATAGCTACAGCATAGTCAAGATCGGCTTCCCATAAATATTTCATTTTTCTGGCAATAAGATATCACTTTTTATCGTCAGTTAAGCGATTGTTATTCTTATAATTTGTTAACTGATCCCAGATTTAGTTCTTCCAATTAAATATTGTTTTGCCTTTATAGATTACTGGAAATCGACAGTTATCTTTCCATTCAATATTGCTCAAAACTGAATATTTATTTATATAGACCATATTTAGCAATTAATTGATTTATAGAGTTTTTAGAGATTATATGATTTATATTGTGTTTAGGAATTTAGACCTATTAGATTTAATAACTATATACTCTAAATATCTAGATTCATTTTTAGTGTGGATTGGGTTATTAGATGAGTTGTATATATTCATCATATTTTGTGAGTGATGTATAAATGAGAATGGGAGAGATGTATATTGGGTTGTAGCGAGAATTGTAGACCCAAAGGGTCATGATTCGAAAAAGAGACAGAGTCTTGAATCTCTGATTCATCACCTAATGGCCTGCTTTGCAATAGTTTAGAGTTATTCTAAAAAATTTATTTATAATGATATTTATATATAAATTGCTTGTGTAAATATATTTATTTTTTCTTGGCATTTTTTTGATGAATATTTTTGGTGATTTGTTCGCTGAAATTTTATTGTGAAACAATGAGCCTGCTCTGACATTTATATCTCCATGATAAAGAATTGAATATAACTGTATTTTATATAAAAAATGGCAAATAAACAGGCTCAAAGGGATGATTCTACAGATTCATCTAAAATTGATATGTTCAAGGAATTAAATTCGAAACTCATTGCCACAATTGATGAGCTTAGAAAAGAGAATGCATCACTTAGAAATAAAAATACTGAACTCTCGACTAAAGAAGCAGGATTTATGGTTAGAATAATGGAATTAGAAAAGAATGCAAAAGAAAGTTCTGAGAATGAGAAGTGAAGTCAGATAGAAAATTCCGAGCTTAAGGGTAAAATAATAAGACTCTATCTCTATTCTACCTGATGATTCAGAAGAAAAGTGAAAATCTGTTATTAATAAAGTACTAGAGCGATCTCCTTATTTATCTTTAAAATATAGCAATAAAAATTGCAATTATTTTGATTTTAATAGTTCAGTATCCTGTTCTATATGCAATAAAGATCATAAAAAAGAAAATATAAGATATAATATAGAGAGTAAATGGAGTAGTGGGGATTATGTCAATACAAAACCTATCATTTCAAATGCTGGCAAAATTCAATTCAAATAGTAATGGTAAAAGCATAGAGCAATAGAAATGTGAATTAACTTCAGGTATTATTTTACATATAACCCAAACTTATATATAATATATTTTTTTTACACACCCATTCCTCAATTACAAACAATGATTTGCGGATTTAAAACACATAACATTGCTCTCTGAGGCCTATTATAATGTAACATAATTTAATATATAATCAAAGCATGTGTTTGAATGCAAAGTTGATCAAATAGCTAACTGAAAAAAATATAATACATGGCAGATAGGTAGATCAGCTTTCTTCTCCCTATATTAAATAAATAAAACTTGTTAAATATCTGTTTCTAAAAGTCGCTCAGCTGATTGTTTATAATAAGTGAATATCTTAGTCATCTTTTCAATCCCAATTCCATTTTGACAACAATACCCGCCTTCATATGTTCGATACTGAGAAAAATTTCACTTGTACCATTTCCATATTCAAGTTGTATCTCATATAAAAAATTAAGAAATAAGATTAAATTATATTTTATGTGATATAGCTAAATTATCTAATTGATTATTTTTGCAGACTGAATGAACCACCCAAGTCAAAGTACTGAGCCACCAGCAATGATGATTATGCCCTTTCAAATATACAACACATATAGTTAGAGGCCTTATCGTCGAGAGGTGAAGACTCAAGCGAAATTTTTTGTATAACTATACATACCCATAACAAGTAACCTGGGTGATTGATCTATCAACACAATATAATCTTGTGTGAGAAAATAAAAACATATTACTTACTCAATTCATCCAGTATATCATAAAATTTTTGGATTAGATCGCAAATAATAATATAGCAACAGGTTATGTACTTATGTAAATTTCGAGGTGAATACATTCAAAGCTATTTCTTATCTCATAGCTCAGTGGACTAAACCATGAGAAGCTCATCAGGTCTTCCTCTCCTTGCCACGAAGACAATTATAACTGACGATCATACCCTCTAAAATTGAGTTTTTATAAGCATAAAAAAAAATAAATTGCAGAGAGGTAATAGTCGGATTCTAGGCCTGCCTCAAAAGGCTATAACTACATCTGAGAAAACTATATTATTAAGGTGACTAGATTGTGCATTTTTGTAGAACAAACAACTACCTTTATCAAAGTACTAAGCTACCAAATAGTAATTATGAGTACGTTAAACCTCACAACACACATTACAGGTCGAATATATAAATAAAGGTTAAATAATAGAATATATCTTTATTGACCCGTTATTTACCCAATATGCATATCTATACTTGTTGGCAAAACCTATGGAATTTGGGATTGGGCTATGGACAAACTCGGACAAATGGGTTTGTCCACCTATATTTAAAAATTCCATATGGCAAAACTGGATAAATCCCAATCCCAAATCCCAAACCTATCCCAAATCCCAATCCCAATCCCAAATCCCAAACTCAAGTCCCAAAACCCAAATCCAAAACCCAAACTCAAAACCCAAACCCAAATTTTGTCTTTGAAATTTAGAGTTTCCTAAAGAAAAGCTTTTTTCTTTACTAAATAAACCTCTTTTCAACTTCTAAGTAAAGTTGTAGAGGAGTGTCTTGTGATCAGAATAGCAGTTAAAACATTAAAATTGGCCTAGTGGATCACAAGATATAAATATTTTAGTCTTTGCAATTATATGTTTTCTTTATATAAATAAAGAAGAAAACATATAGTTACAAATACTAAAATGCTTATATCTCATGATCTACTAGGCCAATTTTAACGTTTTAACTGCTATTCTAATCACACAATACTTCTCTACAACTTTACTTAGAAGTTGAAAGAAGGTTTGTTTAGTAAAGAAAAGATTTTCTTTGAAAAACTCCAAATTTCAAGATTTGTGTTTGGGATTTGGGTTTGGGATTTGGGTGGGATTTGGGATTGGGATTTGGGATTTGGGTATGGGATTTGTCCAGTTTGGAATTTGGGGTTTATTCAATTGGGATTTGGGTTTGGGTGGGATTTTGAAGATTTTTAGTTTTGCCAACATGTATAATCTTGAGTCAATTCATTCTCATAAACCCGTTCACAGAGACTTACACAGTGGAAATATTTTGCATGAAAATAATTTACATAATGAAAATATCACTGATCTTGGATTTTGTAAAAAAGTAAAATAAGGAAAATTTTGTGGAGTTCTGTCATATATAGCACCAGAGATTTTAATGGGTCAACAGTATACTGAAGCATCGAATATTTACAGTCTTGAAGTTATTGCAACAGAGATTTCGACCAGACAAAGGGCATTTGACATAATTCCATTTGATAATCTTGTATCAAGAATTATCAGTGAATCAAAATCTAAGGATTTATTATCTTCAGGATTTTGATCTTCAGAATTTTGACATAGAACTATGAAAAGGGTGGGTTATGGAAAGAGGAATGTTGGGAAAAGGATAAGTCAGAGAAAAAGATATGTTGGGGAAAAGGGAATGTCGGGAAAAGAGAATGTCAGGAAAAGGGATGTCAGAAAAAGGGTATGTTGGGGAAAAAGGATATGTTGGGAATAATATGTTGGGGAAAAAGATATGTCAGAGAAAAAGATATATCTGGAAAGGGGATGTCGGGAAGTGGTTGTCAGGAAAAAAAATATGTCAGGAAAAAGATATGTCTGGAAAGAAGATGTCAAAGAAATGGTTGTTGAGAAAAAAGATATGTCAGAGAAAAGGGTGTGCTGGGGAAGTGGTTGTTGGGGAAGGGGTATGTCAGAAAAATATTGTCGGGGAAATAGATATCAGGGAAATTGTTGTCGGACAAGTGACATGGACCCATGCATGAATCCTGCCACAACTCTTTTCATCTGAACAATAGCTTTGTTCTAATTGATACATATTTCTTTCCCAGCAGGCTATTCAGTATCTAGCTTTGTAACCCAGTACATATTAAGTCTTTGCTTTTTAACTGTAGTTGCATTGAAACTTCTGCCTTCTACTTCCATATTACAATTAAGAAGTGTTAAGTCATGGTTTGTTACTAATGTTACCCTGCAATCTTCGTCATATGCCATGATTGCATGAAAATTTTGTCGAAGATATAGCTTATTAATATGGTCTCTATAACTATTAAGTTCTTGTTTCCGATTCTCATAAATTATTAAAACTACATCCATATATAACTTAAAGGCAAGAAGCCATTTTGATATATCTAAGAAGGCTGTGTGGCATGATCACTTTTTAATTGAAATCGAGCCTCCTTTGGCTGATTGTAGCACTGGTTCATCCTCAGTGTCCTTCATAGCATCTAGTAGGTTCTTGTATGAAAATTCTTGCAAGTTTATATAGGATCCAAAAGCGATTGCCTTCCAAAGCTTAGCTAATATACTAGGCTTGTGTGGGAGGGTCTCGATAATCTGTTTCCCTCATACCAGTTGGTAACCCACCAAATTCATATGCTCTCAGTTTTTGTGGCATGTAGGTTTGAAAAATTAGGAATATCATAGATGTGTTGAAAGTGTGTATAGTCGATAGATGGGTATTTTATTGATGTTAATTTAAGCATAGGCAGCTTAACAGCTGCTGAGGTTGATTGGGCCAGATTGACCACTATTGCTGGGCTCTGTTGTTGCAGACTCACTCTCAATGCTGCCATAATTAGATTATTTAAAGTTGGGTCGGAGGGTGATTATCTGTAGTCTGGATATCCTGTTTTTCTTTTTCTATCATGTGTCGCCCAGGTGTGTCTTTTGGTTCATATGAGTATTGTGCCAATTTTGCCTGGTTGTAGGGCATAGTTGTATGGGAGCTGCAACTGTTGTCTGGTTGTGTAAGCTTAGAAAGTGTATTGTTAATCTCAGACTGGAGTTGTTCGTTCCATAATCTTTGTCTATCAAATTGGAAATCAATGTACTGCTTGAAGGAGTTGATGATCATTGTGGTTGATGCCCAAATCGATTCATCAATATATGTCCTAATGAGAGGGTTGACATAAATGTTCAGTTTTTGATATGCAAGACCCATAGCTGTGTTGCTGAAAGTAGGCATAATAGTTGTGTATCAAATAGGGATGTTTTTCTCTTTCTCAGAATCACATGGTTCTAAATTGGTGTAGCTTATGATTAATGTAAAAGGTTTTTTTTTTTTTTCTGAGAAAATGCAAGTTAAATGAATTGAGTTTTTTATGAGAAAGAGCATGTCGAATTTGACTATTTCGATGACCTTTTTATATTAATCATTTAGTGGCTTTTGATTATGCTGCATGAATTTATGATTTGATGCTGATTGCTTTCTCCGATTGATCTTTGTTTGTGATCGGGGTTAGGCACGTGAAATATACCCCATAACCAATGCTTCCTGTCTTTTCAATCTGTTGATCTTTGTCAACTTGCAATAATCAATCAAATATAATAAAATGCAGAATTTTCGTTAAATAGCAAAGTGATGAAATATTTTTACTTAAACTATCTAAATATGAAAACATTAATGTATAACAATATGCAAGAGCATTCTAAACGTAATAAAGAAGTAATTATATATATGTCATACATTTCTCTTAAATAACCATTAATTCAAAATTAACATACTTGAGTTTAAAATTTATACCAATCAAAATGTAAAATACGTACAGTCAAACCTCTCTATAATCACAAGTTGGTCACACCCAATTTTGGTGATTATATAGAGGTGTGACTATAAACAAAATACTTTTCATAGTTACGTAACCAAAGGCCAATAAGTAATATATTTATACATATTTGAAATACTATTAAAAATTTTAAAATGTTTGATAGTAAGTAACTTTTGACCCAGTGGACCAATTTGGATAAAATGTCTACCAGAGTATTTGACTCAATAAGATGATTTTAGAGAGTCCAAATCATCCAAATCTAATTGCAAGATGCTAAAATCATTAAGGATTTTTAACTAAGTTATTTAAATTTAACCAAATTTTAACTATATAAAGTGATACAAATCCTTAATGATTACAGGAGCCTGTAATTAGATTTTAATAATTTTGGACTCATTAGAATTATCTTATTGAGATGAACATTTTGGTGGTTGTTTCATTTAATTTGGACCACTGTATTAAAAGATATTTACTGTCAAACTATTAAGAATTTTTAATAAAATATTTTAAATAAGCATGAATATGAATATCGGCCAATCAGATTTTGTAATCTATATTTAGTCAAAATTTGTAACTATAAAGAAGGTTTTTACTAATAAAATTGATAAAAAAATCTAAATTTTTTTGTGATAGTGATTATAAGCAATTTGTGACTATAAAGAGGTTTTTTTACTATATTTAAGTCTGTTACACAATATTGGGTGCTTATATAGAGGTGTGACTATATGGGGTGTGACTATAGAGAGGTCAGACTGTAGTTTTAAAATTATACTAATTAATATGTAATGTATGAACATAAGTCAAGTTTAATATAAGCGTTTAATAAATTATATTGATTATAAAAAAATAAATAAAATAAAACTAGAAAAACAGCAACGTTTTATAGGCTGAAGCCTCAATTATTAGGTCTAACAATTTATATAAAATTAAATTTAAAATGATATATATTTAAATTAAATTTTATGAATTTCTATTATTTTTAACATTATATTTATAATAAAATCATAAAGAAAGTAATCTTTGTTCTTCTAAAAATCTTGTTCTAATTTTTGTAATCTGTCAAAAGAGAATGCATTATCGAAAAGAAGATCATTAAGAGTATGACTATTGACATACCCATGAATGTAAGACCTGTTGCAAATTCTTTATTTCCAATATTTATGACAGCTTACGGTAATGCAGTAATGTCAAACCTTGTGATTTATGAATTGTAATTGTCTAGGCAAGACATAATGGAAGCTGTATTCGAGAGAAAATACCAGATTTTCCCCTCCCAAGTGAATTTGATAGGTCGAATTGGTCTACGTGATTGCTATTTATTGTAAATTCAATTCAGTATCATTCTGTAGCCGTGCAATACCAAAGATAAGTTCCTCATACTAAAATTGGCAGGTAGGAGTTTTTCGGATTTTAGAATTTTCAGACAAATAATCATTACTATTAAAATTAAAGCAAATAAAATTAAATCCTTACCTGTTACAATGAATTCATATTATTTTAAACCTTAAATCGGGCAATGGCATAGGCGATCAATAATTGGTTTTTTTCTTAACAGTTATGTAAAATGGTCTCGATTTAGAAGTTGAAATAAAATAATTATCTGAAAAATTATTTAATATCATAATTAGAAATGGATCAGTCCATCCCGGTCAGTCCCAGTCTCTATAAGACCAATTTATAATGTTTATTGGTCCTGTTGGTCTGTCTTTTTGGTTCTAGAATCATTAAAACTTTTATTTATTAATAGCCAAATTTTTAAAATTTATATTATAAAAAATACAGCACATCAAATTTATATTATAAAAAATACAATGCATATTAAATTTATATTTAAAAAAAATATAGCAACGTAAATCTCAATATGTATTTTATATTTACAGTAATATAAAAAATTAAACACAGAGATGTTTAACTATCCAATTTGCAAATTCCTTTTTGAAGCCAATACTTTAACTATAGATTCGCTCTTCTTCTAATCTAGCTCTTGTTTTTTTTGGTCGGCAATTTTATTAAGGTTCGAAACATTAACATTTATTTCATTAGAAATTGGAACTTCAATGCTTATTTTATCAAATTGAGAGATGAAAGCAAGAAATTTCTGTTATTGTTCATAGTTAGAAAAGAGTTTTATATTATTATTATTATTTGCATTGTTTTCTTTATCAACTTTTTTATCAGTAGTATTAGTCATCATTAAACCATAATCAGGACCAGGACCAGACAATTCCAGACCGAGGACTGAGAATTATTCAGTCTTTGGTCTTTTACCATCTGGTCCCAGTTTTTACAAAGACTAATCCATCCCTAATCGTTATTGTAGCAACTATTTGACAAATCAGAGATTAATAGATTCAGTTATCATTGGTCACTGCTTAAGATTCATTAGATATTACTCACTATCCTTACCAACTGTTTCATAAATAAGATCCAGAAATATAACTATATATAATGATTAACTAATTTTAATATAATATATTCCCCAAATACAATACATGTTCTTTACACAGACCCACCTAAATTTGATTCTAAGTTAACTTTATAATTTAATATGTGCAAAAAACTTATTATTAATTTCTTGTATCAATATTAGTAAAATTAAAATAAAAATCAAATTATAGCCAAATGTTTATAATTATGTTATCTTTGTTAAAGTTTAAAATTAAATATTTGAACGCTTTGTGTTTATTCATTTTAACAACCAAATTATTTACATTAATAACTAACCAAAATTATTCGATCATCACCTATGACTAAAATATTATCATCAACATAATAAATAGCTAGATACAAGATCTCTCTAGATAGTAGACCCACTATGTACTATATCCGGGTCTATAATAACGGATAAAATGTAAAATACCCGGGTATACAAATAGAAAAATCTATGAGAATACTATAAAAATAGATAAATCTTCTAATTATCAGACCCACCCATACAAGAGACATGTGGGTCTAATTATAGGTTTTAAAATTGATGAAATATAACAGACCTGCGTATACGGCTATTTACAGTAATTGTAGATTTGAAGCGAAATGTGTATTTACGTCAATCGTTAGTACTTTCAAATTGGTAAAAATATAGGTCAATTTAAGACAATTTGGAACAATTTAGGGATTTTAGAATATCTAAAAACAAATCTTTTATTTTAGGATAATCAGAAAACCAACTTTACCTTGTACTATACATATGTAATCGATTTATTAATTAGAACAAAAACTGACTAATTTTTTTTTTTGTTACTATGATATATACTAGTTAATTAATCATTCAATTAATCATCTCATCCGTCATTACTTATTACACCATATCGATGCGCCCGATCCCACATATCCCCAGAGACATTTTTGACTCTCACTATACTTCTACTTTAATAGGTCAATATTTCTTTCTTCTTATTTATTTTAATGAATTTTTTCACCTCATACCAAATAGTTGATTTTATCTAATGTGCTTGCGATCAAAAATACATATTTATTTGATTTATGCATTTGTATAAAAATTCTTTTTTACCTCATGAATTTTAAAGTCAGCTCAAATTTTATTTTATTTAATGTTCTTATTCAATGTGTTTGCTAAAAAAATTTTAGGTTCAATTTTCGGATTAGAATCTAAATCAGATCCAGCTGAACCGGGAACTGGACATTTCTAAAAAAATCATAGAGTATGGCTTTAAGGCTTTCACTTCATTTTTCTTAGCTCTAGCCAATAAAATAAAATAAAAAAATACTTTGTTATTTTATCTTCCATAATATGGCTTCAAATTCTTCACTAGTTTTTTTCATTTCTTTCATTTTAAAGCTTTCTAAAAATTGTTGATGATTACATGAACAATCATTCAAAGTATGATCATTGTCTTGATATTTTATAAAACCCGTCAAGTAAATATGAAAATTCGAATTTAAAATACACTGGTGATCATAAGTAATGCAACAAAAAAAAATTTTTACTTAGATCGCATTATTTCCCGCAATTCTGTATGTATCCTTTTATTTTTTTTTATTTTACTCATAAATGGTACCTTTTTGCGATGTTAAAATTTTAATATTCATTATTATTGCCAATGTTAAGATAAGCGTGCATGTAGCACAAATCACGTGTTGCATTACTTTTGATCATTTTTTACAATGATCAGATGATGACTATTGTACAACGAAGGATCACGTGACTGGAAAATCTATTCTCAATTTTGCATTCTTGTGTTACAATAGAACTTAAATGATGTTCTAGCAAAAAAAAAAATATATACGATTTAGAACACAAAAGAGCCCTAGTTTCTTTGTTGCTGCAAAACCAGTATACTACAAGGGTGGTAAGCTAGACATGAAATTTTAGTTCCTTCCTGGCTCTTTACACCAATAAAAGTGGTGGAGCTATCATGTTTGCAAAAAATTAGCAAAGGTTTGTTGTTTACCTGTCAGCAGTAAGCCAACCCAAGCGATGATTTTAAATTGAGCAATCTATCTTTGCTCTATAATTGCCATCAAAGTACAGTTTTATCAAAAAAATAAGCAGTATTTAATAATTTAGGTTGGTTTTTTTTTTTGCATACAGAACCTACGGATTGGTACTAGGGATTAAACAAAAAAAGCTTTACTCGTATGAATGTCAACGAAAATGTTGGCTAGAATTTATGAAAATTGGTCTACCAAGTACTGGTCTAGGTAATTTCATTTAACAAGCTAAAATTCAAAATTTTTTGAGTTGGATAGTAAATAATACTATAAAAACAACTCAAAAAATTATTTATTTGCTTTTAATATTAAAGATGCGGATAGGTTTGTAAAGGTATAATACTATATTAAATTTCACGGTATTAATAGCCTTTGCAAAGTTGACCACATAATAGATGTTGAATTATATTATATTAATATTTTATATATACCATCATAGATTACGAATTTGCTATTTAAAAAAATATTTCTGTAGAAAGATAATGAGGTCAAATATAGTGCAATAGTTCTAAGACATTAGCTTAGAAATAGTTAGACAAAGATTTTGGTTAATATCTCTGCCTTTTAAGCTTAATCATTTAAAAATTTTGTAGGTCAGGGTTTTACCATCAGCTTGGGAATGTTTTGAGCAAATTTTAGATAAAAAAAATTGTTGGAGCAAGATCTAGGTGGCCTAGACGGAAATCAAAATAAAAACCTAAATCGTCCGATCCATCCCAATGCCAGAACAAGTTTGTGAAGCAATCAAGGCACAAGATGGATATACTATGTTGTGGTGGCCACGAAATATTAAAATAGAAAAAAAAATTTTTTTTTTTTATATGTAAAAAAAATTTTTTTGTTTTATGTTCATGTTGTGTTGAAAACAAGCAAAAGTAATGCAACACGTAATTTTAAATAAAGCTCATGCTCATAAAAAATCTACTTTATTAATACATTCTAAGATTTTTTTATGTGAATAATATACTATTTACAAATAAAATAAAATAAAAAATAAAAGGATACACGCAGAATTGCGGGAAATAATGCAATCTAAGTAAAAATTTTTTTTGTTGCATTACTTATGATCGCCAGTGTATTGTGTTCTTAATACCTTTAAATTAATTAAAATCAGAAGTATCGATGGACTGAATTTTAAATCTGATAAACATAATCGTGGTAGCAAATCGACATGTTACTCAGAACCATCAAATGATTTATAATCTTAATGGAAAAACGATATAAAACTATAAAACATGTGTTAAATTTGAAACCTGGTGATCTCGTTAAGATAATATTGATAGGCTAAAAATGGATAGACGAGCATTGCGACTCATATCAAGTTGGAAACATGGTTTTCAGCAAAGCGAATTAGAACCTTAGA